TGAAGAATGAATTGCTCTATATATAAGCCTGGGAGAGGGAGTTGCGTAGATAGCGTGTGATTTCCGTCGATTAAGGTGAGTGGAGGGGGCGGCTAATTTAATTCCTTCCAGTTTAGTTTGATTAAATTACCTCAATTGGGGTACACTTTTTGGTCCAACTTTATCCAAATTAAAATCCGTTTACACCGTTGCGATCAGACAGTCAAACTCTATTTAATGATATAACTTTTATATTTATTTGAAATACTTTTTCTGACAGCATATTTTTGGGTGTTGACTTTGACAGAGTCAAAATTGAATTAATTGATATGTAATTAAAATTAGTCTCATATTCAATCAATATTATGAAATATAAATATTTATTTCAATAAATCATTTTACAAAAGTTCACATCTTTGACTTTTTCTCATTTTTATACAAATTACATATTTAAAATGTCATAACTGAACCTCTGTACATCAGATTTATTCATAAAATATACTGTTGGATTCGTCTCTTCGAGACCTATCCATAAAAGTCAATCTTAACAAAAATCATTGACTCCAAAAATTCCTTCATTTTTGGTCAAACATAGAAATAATGCTTTGTTGAGTCAAAATATGGTTTCTAAAAATACTTTTATAATAGAATAACTTTTAGACCATGTTTTGGGGCGTTACATGAGGTATCCCAGCTATACCAGTAATTTCCTTAATTTCCTCTGTAGTCATATGTTTGGAGAAAAAGATTTGGGACTTATTAGGGCTCACACTTTGGCCTGAGGCTCGACTAAAATTGTCCAAACAATCTTTAATGATCAACATCTGGTCCTTAGGGGCTTCTGCAAAAAGAACCATATCATCAGCGAAAAAAAGATGTCAAGAGAGGACCATACCTGGATGTGCGAATCCCCTTCCATCTCCCTTGTTGGACTTTCTCTTTAATGAGATGGTTCAGTCTCTCCATACAAAGCACAAAGAGGTAAGGAGATATGGAGTCCCCTTGCCTGATTCCCCTAGACGGCTTGATCCACTCAAGTTGTTGCCCATTCCAAATAATGCTTAGCTTTGCAGTTTCAACCCAAGTCATAATGTTTCGGACCCAGTCTTTATGTAGCCCAACTTCCTCAAGGGTGTCTTTAATAAATCTCCAGTCCAGCTTATCGTATGCTTTCTCGAGATCAATTTTCAGGATCATATATTTTTTCCCTTTTTGGGCCGTACGCATTGTATGTAGCACCTGTTGGTAAATGAGGATATTATCCACAATTTGTCTTTTTGGAACGAAACTGCTTTGTTCAGCTCCAACGTGGTCTTTAAGGATGGGCTTGATTCTATTAGTCATTGTTTTCGTGATTATTTTGTAAATCACGTTACAAAGGCTAATCGGCCGGAACTGAGTCATGCTCTCAGGACTGGCGGTTTTAGGGATGAGGGTCACCAAAGTATCATTAATGCCCTCTTGTAAGTAGCCCGTGCTAAAAAAAATCACAAACCTGTTTGTACACGGACTCCCCAACCACTTTCCAGGCTTTTTGGTAGAAATCAGCGTGAAAACCGTCAGGGTCGGGGGCTTTGAAAGGGGCCATATCGAATAAGGCAATTTTCACATCTTCAAGGGTAATCTGCTTATATACTTCTTTCCATTTTTCAGTACCAATAATTGGGAACTTGCCTTTCGGAACTGCACTAAGCTCAGTTTCACCTTCCTTAGCGAAGATATTTCCATAATAATCATTTGCTATTCTCTCCATATCGCTGTCACTAAGACAAGAACCATCTTCCGCTTTGAGCTGGATTTTCTGTCTTCGGGCCTTTTTTATATTGACAATAGTGTGGTAATACTTTGTATTCAGATCTCCTGAGGTGATCCACTCCTCCCTAGACTGTTGATACCAGAAAATTTCCTCTTGATGAAGTGTATTATCGAGGTCCCTTCGAAGCTTCTTCTCCAGTTTGATAAGACTCGGATGGTGCTTGTTGTCCAAAGCTCGTTGCACCCCTTCCAATCTCTTGTTCAAATTCTTCTTTCTTTGGTGGATATTCCCAAAGGTTGCACGGTTCCATTCAGCAAAAGCAGTAGCCATATTCTTGGAGTTCTCCCAAACATTTTCCTCTTTTTTCCATGTTCTTCGAATCATGTCGAGGAAGTTGGGATGTGTGACCCACGCCCCTTGATATTTAAACCCACTCTTTTAGTGCCACTTTGATCCCCTAGAGAAATCAAGATCTGATCAGATTTGCTCGAAGCAAGATGGCGAACTTCTGTTTTTGTGTTCCTGTCAAGCCAGTCAATCGAACATAGAACTCTATCTAATCGGGCTCCTTTAAAGTTTACGTTATCAGTACCTCTTTTCCAGGTGAAACATTGGCCAATGAACCCGAGGTCAATCATAGCTTCATCAAAGGTCCATTCATTGAATCTAGAACACCTGTGTGCCTCAAAGTGGTCAGGGTTACTAACTTCCTCTCTCTTAGTGACCGAGTTGAAATCGCCTGCAGCAATCCAAGGTGTGGTGATATTAAGATTATCCCTCTTGAGGGTGTTCCAGAGCTTCTGGCGAAGGTGAGGAGTGGGACTCGCATATACAACTGCAAAGGTCCACTTGTCATGGCTTGTATTCATCACCTCTAACATTGTAAATTTGTAACATAGTTTTTTTTTCTAATTTTAAATTTACCCCTCTTATCTTTTGGACTGGTGGACAACCTACAACAAGAGAACCCTTTTGGGTCTTTATGGAAAGCTTATAATAGAAACATATATGAGGAGATTAAAGCTACTAAAATAGAGATCATAATCAAAATTTAGAAATTGGTTCAATCCTGGTATTGGTTTAGCAAGGAAGCTCAAAAGATTGCTACTGATGGAGAAAGATAGCTCCACAACCCCCACCTTTCGAATTTGTGGTCCCATCCATATTTAAACACAATACGTCGCTATCTAGTTTCTGCCATGGACATGTAGTGTACGTTCTTTATCTTGCGGTTTGTCAATAATATTACTCCCTCCCTCCCAATTTATTATAATGCATGTTTACTATTTTAGGGTCAAACTTCATTCACTTTTTTTCTTTATTTTCGTTAGCGATTTGATAAAATAAAATAATATTGTCACTACTAGTTTTGTAGATCTTTTGATGTAGTATTTTGATATGTAATTTTAATTTTTTAACTTTATACCACTTGTCATATAAAATGATTTGAAAATAATTTCAGTCAAACATCGTAAACTGAAAATAATTTTTTAGTTTTTTACAATAATTTTCATGTCAATAACCCTTGCCTCAAATATTGGAATATTGGGAGAAATAATAATAATAATAATAATAATAATAATAATAATAATAATAATAATAATAATAATAATAATAATAATAATAATAATAATAATTACAATTGAAATAAATAATCTGATTTTTTATTTAAAATAGAATTTCAGTGTCCTCTTAACACTAAAATAATTTCAAATTTTATTGTTCCTCAATGTGATATGATAGGTAGAACTAATGGCGTTAAATATGTTAGGAATTACCAATGTGATACCCGAGTACAATTTGCCTTTTCCCTAATTATGCAAAAAATTCTTAAATAAAACAAAAATAATACTTAAACTACTTCATTAAAAAAATCACTCAATTGAGTCAAAAAAACTAAATTTAGATATGGTGTTATTAGATATCCGTCACATGCACATTTATAAGTTACATACTGCATGCATCTATAATACCAGTACAGAGTAACAACAACAATAACAATAATAATACTAATAATAATAATCATTATCATTATCATTATTATTATTATACAATTTTTTTGAATATATAATTGACTCTATTAGAAGGTAATATCTGCTCATAATATTCTCAACCTAATGACGCACAAAGAGCCAATGCTTCTGACTCCGTTGGGACATGAACATGAGTGAACTTTCTCATAAATCCTGGGAAATATAGACTTACTACCATTCAAGCCAGGGGAAAAGTTTATTAATAATAATACAATAATAATTATAATAATAATAATAATAATAGTAATAATAGTATAAGCATGCAAATATTTTTTTTCAATGTTTAAAGAAACTAGGAATCAAAAGAAATTGCATAAGTTGACAGAAAGTAGATTAAACATGAAAAAACTAGAAAGAATTAATAAAGTGCTAGTTAAAAATTAAGACTTAAGGGTTACAACTCTGGTGGACAAACCTTTTAGTCATAAAATCATTTCAGTGTTATACTTTTTTTGAATATTTTAGATGTATGAAAATACAATTTTACCCATGTTGCACTCGCATGCATCCCAAACTTTTAAATAGTACTCGGGGTTGCATAGAGTAGACAAATCCCTACTCGGGGTATCACTGTTTGCTTATAAACCCAACCAAATCAAAGCACCCCAAACTGCTCAAACTAGCTTTAAAAGATATTGTTAGGTTAAGTGTGCCGTTAATAACAAGTCCCAAAAGTGAGTGTCCTATAAACTAAAGGCCACTAGAAGTGAAGTTGGGATCTAGCATGGGTGATGTACAGCTTCCACTTCCCCAGCTCCTCAATGACACAAGTTCTACCCAAAAAAAATACATAAATGAACAATATTAGTAACTCAATAACCGATATTCGGCATCCGATTTGCACGAGGCTTTCTCTTCTCTTAACAGTTTACGATAGCTGCCTCGGTTGTTGTCAATAGTAGAGACACACTGCAAAAAAAGTGTCTTTGTCTCAGTCAATCGTACATAGAAGTTGAAAAGGATATAAATGTTGCATAGCCATTCTTATTCTAACCTAGCAGCATCCATCAAAGCTGTTCGAACCACTTTGAGAGGATCCATAATTCCAGCGCACACCATGTCCACGTATCGATCTGCACAAATCATAGGAATCATAGTTATGTAATCTGTTATGACGGATGTAAGAAAGATAACAAACAATAAAGAAACGAAAGAACAAACACACACAGATTTAACGTGGTTCACCAACAATATGTTGGCTACGTCCACCTAACAGAAGAGAGGAGAGCTTTTACTGATTGAGGAGAGAGATTACAGAGGGATTTTCTAGGTGACTAATCTATGTCTGAATGCCTTACAAATGAACCTATTTATTGGAAAGATGGCAGCCAACTTGGCTGCCTAAATCCAGTGGGAACTGAGCAGTTGACAGCCCACAATACTGCTGTCATACAGCTGGCCCACCTCACCAACTAGCAACCCACTTGCCCAATTGTCTAGGCCTCCTTCCAGCCACTTTCCAGCTGGTTTCCAGCCACTTTCCAGACAGGTGCAGCCATTGTTGACTAGTCAAATAGGTTAGAATTCAAGGCATTCCAACA